ATGTATAAATTGTGTATTATTATTACTATTTTTATTATTATTATTATTATTATTATTATTATTATTATTATTATTATTATTATTATTAGAGTCTAAAATTTGTTATGATAAACAGCAATTTTGAAATTAATTTGTTATCTGTTATAGCTGACTTTTCAATTGAGATTGCACAAGAGGAAGACACTGGCATTGAGTTGGACCCCGGATTATCACGGGAGCCAACAATGATGGCAGGCAAGTCTAACAAGATACCACCAATAGGCACAGCAGCTGTACCCTCTACCAGATTACCCACAGCCATGCCACTTAGAGAGGTATGCTAGTCTAATTAATGAATAAGCCAGTATGTAGTTTGAACTGCGCATGCTGGTACCAATGTCAACCAACATAAACAAATATACACGCTACATAGGTTTATGTTGATTGACCTTCGATACGGGCATGTGCGGTTAAAACTACAAATTTCCTTATTAATTGTCTAATTGCAATATACCGTTAATTGTCTTAGTGTAATACCATTCATTTGAATTGATTTTTATATTTTAATTGGTTTTTAAAATGTAAATAACATGCAATTTGGGCCTTGGCCAGATTATTATATTTTTTGATGAATAAATAAGGTGATATACAATATATATCGTCATTAATGTTCTTGGTTTTTGTTATTGTTTATTAAATTAAAAATAATTGATTGTGTAGTTCTATTTATGAGCTTCAATGAATTTACATACCCATGGAGATATTTTTTTCTGGTTGATTTAGCATGTTTATATTTAATGAACCTGTATTTGTTTTTCTTCATGCATAATGTTACTGTTGCTATCTATTTTCTAGTCTCATGAAACTGGTCCTGGCCCTGATTTTGAACGAGTGCTATTCAACATAGGAGGGCGCAGTCCATTGGTAGCCCACTATCTGTATGTAAAGGGACTCTCATCTAATGAAAACCATGGTAGACAGGTCAGAAGAACTGAGATCTCAAGGATACAATATCCTTTCCAGCATTTGTTATTTATGTTAAATGATGATAAGGATGATGATGACGACAATAACCACTATGATAATGACAAACTTTGATAAATTTATAGTCTTTGTATTAAATAATCATAATATATTTGTTAAGGGTGAATGAATACTAATAAACAGAAGTATTTCCTTAAGTATACATCAAGTCTCATGCACCAACATACAGAGATGTAATAAAGAACACAAAGAAGACATCAAGAGCTCTGAATGCGGAGTACCAAAGGTGAAAACATTAAAATCTAAGCTGATTTTTTTATTCTTTGTATTAAGTTATAATAATAATTCTTGAATTATATAGCGCCTCACGTTGACACAACCTCGAGACGCTTAACATATTAGAACATATTAGAACAATTTAAAATGTAAGCAAGAGAATCGTTTCCTCACTAATGTATACTGTTTATGTTTAATTCAATTGCACATGTACAAAATGTTTCAATGTATGCCAGCGTATGGCTCATACATCCCGCATACGCGAGCCATAAGTTGTAGGTAAGTTATATGACGTCGTCATTTACACACGTTACTTGTAAGTTACTCATAAGTCAAAATACGTCGAGATATTGTCTAGCGTACCAAAAAATTATTTCTAACCTATGAGTAATATGCTTCGAAACTATGTGTAACTTATATCAAACTTATCTCCAACAGCTACTGTACCTTATAATGGCATCTATATAAGTTACTAATATGTTATGTATACATCCAACTTGTTTGATATGGATATGCTATGTATACGCTGAAATTTAAAAAAAAAAATTATTGTTCAGCATATACCAGCGTTTTAGAGAAATTTTGATATGTTTGGCATACGCTGATAATAAACATTTCAAAAATCAGCAATGTAAAATGGACATAAAAATAGAAACAAATAAAAATGTAAAATATATAGAAACAACATGATCTTGTATAAATCTAAAAATCTGAGGACTGTTTTAAAAAGAAAATTTGCATTTTCTTTTCAATCTGTATCATCTATATTAAGTTATATGATTCTTTTGTAAATGTGCGTTTAATCTTCAATCTAAACAGATTATTTTTACCAATTTTTGAATGTGAAGTATATATCAAGGAATATACCTTATAAAAATATGCTGAATCTAGTTTATTCTTTAAATGTATGCATCCAGGCTATCTTATCATTGTTTTTGATTTACTTATAGTTAATTTTTAATTTCATGATTTATTTATTGTAAACAGTTTTTGTTATATTTACTGTATGTAACAGGGCTTCCTTGGAAAGCAATGAGAGTCACTGAATGCATACCCCCTGGTTAAAGAAAGCTTAAATAAATAAATATAAATGTTTTTTGGTATCCTTATTGTTTGTCATAGATGCCTTTCTTATACCTTGATTGTTATTCCTTTTTTCTTTAACGATGTTCATGTATTGT